GTGGTTAGTGCATTCACCCCAAATGTCAGCCTTGGTTGTATCACAAGTATTAGGTAAAAGCTAAAGCTTCTCATCCTGAAGCTTAAAATTATTAAACCCACAACAAAGCTCAATGATTCGACTTAAGATACAAGATTTTTTTTTCTGCACCACTTTTAAAATAAAATGGACAGTAATTGTTCAGATTTAAGTAGGGTCATTAATTTGATTGCATTTACTCAGACAGCGGTGGTTACTCATACAGTTTATATGAGCAACATCCTGGAAGGTGTGTCAATACTTACCAAAGAGTTTTGTTTTCCATTTTTAGTTTGAATCAGCTCTGTGCAGGAGCCTGTATTAATTCAAAAATAATGGGGAAAAAAATGATAAAACCAAGAAAATAACGGCTGTGATTCACACAAAGGTTATGCAATAAAGGAACGAGTTGTTCCAAGAAAAGCAAAATTGTTTCTTTTCTTTTTCAAGAGTCCAACAGTGGGAGTGTTGAAGCTTCTCAAACAGGTAGTTACATTTCTTAGAAGAGCAACTCAATGTGTCTTACGAAGAACATGTATTGTGTGAGTGTGTGTAATGAACCTTTTGTTTATGGCTGATGTACCGTTGTGTTGACAGAGGTTTTTGTGATGTGATCAGAGGGCTAAGCTCTGCAAACACAGCAATTCGTTCCTCCGAGGCGGGGCGCAGTGGGGAGGAAATTCATCTCAACCGTAACTCTGCCTTGAAAAGGTCGTGTTAACCGGGAGGGGAACTTGTTAATAAAACTCCACGACGTGATAAAGATACTTGACTGCAGTAACTGTCTGTGTTAAACTGTGATTGTTTCTTAGAGGAGTATTTAAAGCTCTGAACTGAAATACGGATCTTATTAAGGTTATATTGTAACGGAAATCATATAATTTCATTAAGTTTTGGGGGGGAGGGGAATCCACAAAATATCGAGTGGGGAGTATTAATACTCATAAAAATCCCTTCAAAGTGCTTATCTTTTAAACACCATCGATCTTCATCTTTCATGCTTTATTTAAACTTTCAAAAAATGTAAATGACCTGCATCTGTCTAGTACTTTATCAAAGGGCTCCAAAGCACTTCACCCAACATTCAGCCATTCACCCACTCAAACGCTGAAGGTGGTGAGTTATACTGTAGCCGCAGCTGCCCTAAGAGAGACTGGCATTAGCAAAGTTTGGTAACACTTTATTTGAAGGGGTTGAATAAGACTGTCATGACACTTTCATAAACATGACCTAACACCTGT